AAAATTCATCATGCCCAATCCCAATTGAAACCAAATTGAAGCCCAATTAAGCCCAACTTCAAACCAAATTCAAGCCCACTTAAAATTCTTAATTTTTGTCGTATACTCAAATTTCCCCAAAATGAACCCCATAACCAAACCGATTTCCCCAATTTTGAGTTCTAAACTCCTCATAACATTCCCCTTGATCAATTTGTACCCTCAATTGTTCTTAACCTAAACTCAAACCTCACCCAAATTCTACCTAAATAAAAATTCCCAATTTTTCCTTAAAATCCCAAATGTCACCAAATTAAACCTCATAGCTCCATAATTTCAACCCAATTGACATCCAAAACTATTCATCACAATCCCTTGAACTAATTTGAACCACCAATTGAACGAAACCCAAACCATAGATCAATCCAAACCCAAGTCTAGCCCAAATGCTCTAAAATTGACCATGAGTCAAATTCCATTAATTTGAACCTCCCAATTAATTCAAAATCACCTAATTCCTTCTCGAAACTTCTCATGAGAATTATCCAAGCTCATTCAATCAATAAATTGACCCAAGTCTTTGCCCAAACCAAACCTAGACCTAAGTTCAAACCGAAAGCCCAATTTTGAACCCAACCCCCAAACTTGACCAAATTCATTGAAATTGACCAAGCCATAGTCACCACAGCAAACATTTGAGCCCTAGGAACCGAGCTAGATCCACCTAGCCCAACCTAGTTGATCCATGGACCAAGGGTCCCTTGAATTAGGGTTCTTTTCTCATAAGTAGCTAAACCAAGTGGATCTTTTCCACCAACCATCAAACCTCAGTGTTAATCACCATTAAGCTTCCTCTGGCTCCCCTGATCACCCTAGCCACCAGCCCTAGCCTGGCTGGCCGGCCTAGTCATCGGAAAACATCAAAACCAAAAGCCACCCCAAGCCTTAAACCCAAAATTGGAACTCCCTGAGTTTGCTCACCCCCATTGGCCATTGGCAATGCTCAGCCCTCCACCTAAGCATACCTTTCCGCCCATTGGCCAGCCTTGGTAGCCACCATGTGCGTGTCTATTTAACCACCACCTCCCACGGTCAAAACATAGAGAGTGCACAAAACCTTCATGGGTCTCTACTGAGTTGCTTCCAGAGCTTCTCCAAGACTTCCTAAGATCAATCCCACCATTTTCCACCTTTAAAATCCACTGTCATAGCTCAATTTTGAGTTCAAAATATAGGGCTTTTTCTGTCACTCCATTAAACTCCACCAAAGCTCAAATTAAACCACCGAAAAGCTTCCCTAGGCCAAACAAGGAAGTTCTCCATCAAAACCCCCTCTGTTGAGCCCTCTAACTAAGCTCTAGCCCAAGGCTGCACCACCCTTTGATCGAAATCATACTCAGAGCTTATACCAGAGCAAACTAACACTTCGAGGAGGTTTAGTGGACTCTACGGAAGCTTCCACAAGCACTCAATTAAGGCCTCACCTCTTGGGCAAAGGTATATTTCAAGAACCCTAAAAATGTCTTTGATTTTATCAATTGTGAAGAGAACTTGTATTTCATACGATTGTAACCATATAGATAGGTTCGCCTTGACTAGAATAAGCTATAGGAACAAACCCCAAGTGATTTGGTTGAGTATCGAGAGAGATCTTAAGGTTTTAGTGTTGATGGTTCTCGGGTTGGAACAGATGGGGGCGATGAAATGATGACATCCATTCGTTCGTGTATTGATCGAACGGCGGAGGAGTCAGGTGGGAGATTTGTTCGTGAACAGCGGGACGTGTGACACGCTGAGTTGTAAGTCACAACAAATTAGAGTGCGCCACGTAATCTTTCGGAGCCACCATAGCTTGACGTAGCTGCCATGTGGATAAGTAGGAAAATAAGTTATTTTTTATTTATTTTAATTCAGTTAACTTATAAAATGCATAACTTGGTGTAGAAAAATCATAAAAATAAAATAAAATACCCGCTTGCTCAGTGAATAGAGGAGAATAATGTGGAGCAAAAAAAAAAATATTTGGCATGTCTCTAATTTTTAATTAATTAAATACCCTCCGGACTATTTTAATTATAATTAAGTAAATGTTAATCACCATGGCTTAAAACTTTAGGGGTAGCAAAAATAAAAATTATTTGACATGTCTCTAATTTTTGATACATAATAAAAAATTGTCTTCACTTGAATCAAATTAAGATTATTTTAATTATAATTAAGTAAATGTTAATCACCATGGCTTAAAACTTTAGGGGTTGATTCCTCATGTCAATAGGCATGTCTCTGATTTTTCCAAGGTTAGAGAGCATATCTATCTTTGAAACCCTAATTTTCA